AAAGGGCAGTTTCAACGAGAGATCTAATCTGATCACATTCATTGAAGCCTTCATTGATCTCTCTATCCAGAAATAATCTCTTCCAACTTGGAACACTTATAGTACATCTTTACACTTCTCTGATGCAATTATCAACTTTATTTAGTATTCAACTTATTTCTGCATGTCTTATCTCCCCTACAAAATCATAATTCTTTGTGGGCAAAGACCCTGTGTTATGCATTTTTGTATCAGTGCCTTGCACTAACTAAATATTACTTTAAAAATGAGGCAACAGTAAGAAGGAGTCATGGGGTGGGCAGGGAGCAAAAAAAAAGAGAAAGATAGAATGAGATCCTCTAATGGAAGGTATACCAGTCTAGTCTAGTTTGAGCAAATAACTGGAATTATAATTCGCAAATTTGCTTCTTTCCTGCTAAGGACATTACTCTGATTTGAACTCAGGTCTCGTAAGCTACAGGTCCCTGAGACTCAGGCAGCCCACACCAGTGACCTTCCTTCAAATTCTGTCCATCTTGCCATGATACAGTTCAGAGATGCCTGGGCCTGAAAACTCATCCACCATCCTGGAGCCTAGAACCTTGGCCAGTGCCATGAGCTTGAAGCCCCAGTTTTTCCCTTGTCCTGTTGCTTAGGCAACAAGGTTTCTCCATGCCTGCCTGCATCCTGTTGCCACGGTAACAGGCCAGAGAGAGCAGGCAGCCGTGAGTGGTCCAAGGTTTCAGTAGCCAAGCTCTGACCGTGGGCTTACAGCTCTTCCTCTGCTGACTTCATTTATGCATATTTATACATATCTGCCTGCAGGTGTGTTTGGCATTTGTATTGAAAGATGACTTAAATTCAGTTTTTGCAGGTGTAACTGCAGGACCATTGTGTGATCTCAGAATCGATGTAGTCTGCCTCTCATTAACAGCTGTTGCTGCTTTTTTCAGTGCTTTCCCCCATCATCTGCTCTGCCTATTTTTCTCATAATCTCTATGCTAATTTTAGTTAAACTGAGCCAACTGGTCTTTGCTCACCTAGAACCAACTCAACTTATCTGAACAGTCAACAGGAAATTTCATCTCCAGACCAGAGTCAGACTTAACCTTGTGCATGCTTTCTCTATGAAGGAGCTGAAATTGGATGGTTCGTTATTTCATTGTTTCTAGCATCATTGTGCTTTATGATCCTCAAATCTGATTTGATAATTTTCACTTTTAATGATATGCATAGCACTTGGGAATGCTTTGGAAAAGAGCTTGCCTTCCTTAAAGGCACCTAAAGGAGTTAATTTCTCATGGAATTAACCAGCAAACTAGAGTTCGAGGCCACTTGGTGGAGTGGACAGTGTACTGGAATGTGGAGTCACAGGACCTGAGTTCAAATATTGTGTGACCAAGGAAAGTCACAATGTCCCTTCTTTAAAATGAGGGGGTTGTTAGCTGGCAATAGCTAATATTTATATAATGTTTTAAGGTTTAAAAGCTTCTCTCTGTGTATCTCTCTGTCACCCTCTCCCTCTCCTTCTTCTCTCCCTCTCCTTCTCCCTCTTCTTCTCCCTCTCCCTCTTTATGAAATCTCATTTGATGTTCACAATTTTATGATGTAAGGGCTGTTCTTGTCCCCATTTTACAGATGAGGAAACTGAGGCAGTAGAGGTAAAGTGATCTCCCATGATCACACAGCGAATGACTGTTGGAGGCAGGAGATGCAGGAGACTCAGTTCTCAGAATCATAGATCTTAAACTGTAAGGGACCTTGGAGGCATCTAGTTCAATAGCCTAGTTTTATAGATGAGGGAATGACAGGCCAGTGAAATAAAGTGATTTGCTCCAGGTCATACATACAGATAGTTATGTATCAGAAATGAGATTTGAATGGAGGTCTTCTGTTTTCAAAGCCAGTGTCTTTCCACTGTGTCATTGCTACCTTCTGACTCATAAGCCCTTCATTCCATTCATTATACCATGAGCTGCCTCTAAGGTGCCTTCTACATTGGAATGAAACTTTTTATATTTCCACTTGCGAAAGAATTAGCTCAATAATTAGTCCATTTTCTGATCATTTAGCCCACAGTGGATTTTTTGAATTCTGAATTTTTATGGTTGGTTTTATCAAGTTTTAACCTCCTTGGCTAGTGATCCAATCTATTTGAGCTGTGTAATATGTTTGTAGTTAGTTGGAAGGCTTACACCAAGAACAACTCCCTCGAAGCTACAATTTTCTCCCCTCTTCTTTAGTTTCAGGTCTGCAACGGTGTTAACTTCCTAACCGATCTTCATCAGATCACTTTAATTTTCTAAGCTTGGGTCGGCTTATCTGTAGTCTTGCTAATAAGTTGCAAGAGCTGGCTACCTTTGACACATACCAGCTGGGTGACCCACCATGTCACTTCTCAATGCCCTCCCTAGTTGACTCTAAAAGCAGCATTGGCTGATCTGCACCGTCAGTCTGCCTCCAGTCTGTACTGGAGTTTCCTAGCTGAGAGTTCACAAGTCTTGTCCAAATGTCATTGACTTGCCTTCTCCGCTCCATTCTCAGACCAGGAGATGAGGTCAGATTCAATCACTTTGGGCCAAAGGCCATTCCTGATCTTCCAAAACAAATTTCTTTGAACGGATTGTTGCAGTCCATGGCCCTGTGCATTCACGCTTCCCCACCTGCTTGTTCTAGCATGTGGGGACTATTTACCACAACCCTGATATATTGTTCGAATTGAAAATACTGCAGTGTTGTTTAAGAGCTGACCTTCTCCATGTCACCATGCTGTGCAGTTGAGTCTATCCCAGAATTCATGGTCAGTCCTACATTTTGACATTAAGTGATGTTACTTTGAGTCACAATTAGACTCTCCTTCCTTATTTTTAAATTCCAAGTGACTTAATTGTCTTCTAATTAATATAATAAATGCACATCTCTGCTCATGTGCTTTTCGTTGCAGTTTCTATTTGCAAATGATTGGAACCCAATTAAAAGTTGGCTGTAAAACTAAATTAGAAAACCACAATGGCTTCCATTAGCCACTCTTCAAACACTGTCTCTCTAAAAGACTATTTTTTAGGTAAGATTTCATATAAGTTAGAAGTCCATGCAAAATCCAGTCACCTGGTAAAAAGAAATTTTCAAAAGTAGAGTAATTATAAATAAATAAATAAATAAAGTAATTATATATTGTATAAATAAAAAATTAAGTAATTATTATGAAAAACAAAATCCCTAATCATCATTAAAGGATTTAAAGTGATATTTTGTTTGTATCAAGCAAGTATTTGTAGTATTGAAGTGAAATGTTAGGGCCAGAATTATCAGACTCACATGGAAAAATATTGAAGTGCTAGCATCCACCCATAGTAACTGCTCAATGTGATGTAGTCAGTTAAGTAACAGTAGAAATTTGAACTTAGATTCTCTTGTCTCAAAAGCCCATGTCTAGAAAAAGGCAATAGACTTGAATGAAAAAGTCATGGGGGTTCCTTCTCAGTACACTTGGTATGCACTGAGCACACCTCCCCAAAGTAGAAGTGAAGTCTACTGGCAGCTTATGAAATGGGAAGACAGTCTGGAATGGAGGGTGAAAGAAGTGGGGTAGCATAGGGTGGGAGAATTGGGGGGAAGAATTGGCAACATGGAGCAATATTGGCAGTACTGAACTTTTGGAATAATTCAAGTCATGAGACCTGGGAAATCATTTATCTTACAAGTTTTTTGGACAGTGAAAATGAAAGGATATATTTTTAAAAAGAATATATATACTTTAAATTTTAAAAATGTGCTTCCTTAGTTAAAAAAAAGTCTTAAGAGATATTCTTAAGTGTTTGTAACGCCATAATCTTTTTTGAATGAAATTTCTGTTTTTATCTTTTGTTTTTACATCTCCTACATTTCCCAATGTCTCCTGGCTTCTCTCACTCACAGAGAGAAATCACTTCTGATGAAGAATAAAAAAGAGAAAGAAAAACAGTTGAACAAAACTAACCAACATATCAAAATAGTCTGATGTTACATACAGTGTTCCATCCATGCCCACAGTTCCCCAACTCTGCAAAGAAGCAGAGAATAGGGCTTTCTCTGTCTCTTCCTTGGTGCTACATTTCATCATTTTGCAGCATTTAATTTTGGTTGTTTTGGTTTTTTTTTTTTATTCTTTCTATTTACATTTTTGTGGTCATTGGATATGTTGTTTCCTGGTTCTGCTTTCCTTCACTTTGTATCGGTTCAGATGATTCTTCCCACTCTTCTCTGTTTTCACCATAGTCATCATTTTTCTTACAGCATAGCCATATTCCATTACATTCTTATGCCATGGCGGTTTTAGCCGTTCCCTAATTGATGGGCATCTGGGGGCCCTTCTTTTTGTAATGACCTCCTTGGATCATACATCTAACAGAGTAACGTTTGGGGCAAGTGCTTTGGACATTTTATTCACTTTCACATAATTTCACATTGCATTCCAGAATGAATGAATGAATATGCTTCCTATATGACAAACATTGTGCTAAGTACCCTGGATACAAATACAAAAGGCAAGAGAGTCCCTGCCCTTACAGAACAAATGTTCACATATAAGGACATGTTGGCCAGGGAGGGGTGTTTTGTCTGGGGAGTCCCAGGAATGGTGAGTGGACTCAGGGCAGTTGAATGGCGTGTCCTTTCTAGGAGTGACAGTGTTGAGTTGATCATTATTCTCAGAGCCAGAAGTGGAAAGTGGGGTGGGGAAAAGAGTATACTGAAGATGGCCAGGGGAGCAGTTGCAGCAGGGTGTGGCTGGGGTGGGGCTTGGCATGATAAGCATTTATTTACCAACCAGAAGCCCAGGACAGGAGAGCTGGTGGGAGGGGCCTAGAATTGTTGGACGGAGCCTGAGCTCTTCCAAGGTCCTAAGATGTAAGCTTACTTAGCATACTGTGGCTTGTCAATGCTTCTGATGTGGGACTAGATTTTCTGCTTCTTATCTGGTAGAACTCTGTTCTCTTCAGCGTTGGAATATCACGTTCATAAGTATTCATTCTTTTTCTCAGGGAATACAGCGGAGGAATAGGATCAAGGCCAAGACCAGGTAACTTACTCTTGACATCAAATGATACATGCACACACGTATATAAAATGTTTCAAGCCTCTAGTTGTGTTATAGTTTGATATCTTTCCTCCTTTTATTTCTTCAGCTCTGCTGCCTCTTGACCTGCTTCTGAAAGTGCCGTCACTCATGTTCAGGGCCCACGTTAAGAAAGTAGAGGCCTCGTTAGTGACAGGGTGGCAGTCCCACAGCCTCCCAGCTGTGATTCTTCGCAATCTAAAAGATCATGGTAGTACTTATTAGATCATTTTGGTGTCGAGCAAACAGTAGGAAAACACAGAGTGATAGTTGGGCCAGAAGTGTCTGAATGGTCCTTGAGATGTCATTTGAATAGGAACAGCGGGGAGACCCCATTATGTTTGTCCCTCCTTATGAGTCCAGCCATTCAGTTCATTCAAGTGCTTTCCATGTTCACTTATTTGATGGGAAGATTACAGGCTATTTCTCCATAATTTGTATTTCTGTCTTGGGGTATTTAAGGGGAGGGAATGTTAACCAACTGAACTATTGACACGTTAAAGGACACTTGCTAACCATGGGTTAGTTACATGCATGGATTTGACAAAACCCATACAACTGTTAGGAAAGGTCTCTTTTCCTATCTATTATTACCATTCTAATGGATATAACTGGCCCTTTAAGATTTGAATTAAAGCACACTATATCCTCGGTAATTCAGGAATGTTAGGGTTCTCACTGATGTTTACATAGGGTCATTTATACTAATGATTTGGGGAGAAAAACTATTTCCAAGTACCACCAAATAATGTAAAAAAAGTCCCCAAATAAAAAACAAAGGTTTTAGTGCAACCACAGAAGCTATGATTTTCTACCTTTAAGGTTTGAATCTAGGACCTAAAGTCTGAATTCCATTAATTTTGGTGAATGGGTATGGTACTTTATATTAATAAATAACTTTTGTATATAAATATATAAACAAACCTACAGAAATAAATTTATATACGTGCACATATAAATATGTTTATATGTTTTGTATTTAAATATATATAAACATATTTATATAAATTTTTATATATCACATATAAGTATATATATATGTGATGTTTTATATATAGAAACCTATTTATATATATAAATATGTGTATATATATATATATATATGTATGTATTTCCCCAGATTTGTCCTTTTTATTCCCTTTGGTGGAGAAAAACAAAATAAACTTAGATGGTTTTGTATAAAATGCTACAAACATGAGTACAGACCATGATGTCAGGCATGGGTTGTGGGACAATTGGTTTTATTTGGGCCTATCTTTACCATTGGCAATAGCTCAGTAGAACAGTTGAATTATGGTCTAAGTTACCGTATTGACCACTATGTGGTTTGAGCATTTTGAGATAAAGATCTAGGCATAACTCCATCACTAAACTTTGCCTGGTGAGATGAAATTCAGTTAATCATTTGGCAAGCATTTATTAAGCACCTGCTGTGTGCCAGGCACTCTGCCATTGCTGTGACTCTCAATGTTGGGGTAAACCAATGGGGTAGGCTGTTGTGCTCTTACACAAAGACCAAATGAAATAGTCTCTGCCTTCATGGTCCTTCCAAAGTATCAGGGGAAACCACTTGTATATTGTATACAGAATATATACAAAATAATGCAAGTTAATTGAGCGACAAAAAGGAGGGAGGCATGAGCAGCTGCGGGGTGGGGCCTGTTGGGAAAGGCTTCATCTGGAATGTGGCCTTTTGGCTGCACTTTGAAGGAAGCCGGGGATTCTAAGAGGCAAAGGAAAGTAGGCATGGGACACAGCCAGTGCAAAGGCCCAGAGGTGGGAGATGGGATATCACGTGCTGATTTGCTAAAATATAGCCTGTGTGAAGAGGAGCAGTGTATGTGATAGGACTGTAAGGACAGGGAGAGCCAGCTTAGAAAGGGCTTTAAAGGGGAAATAAAGGGGTTTCCATTTGACCCTAGGGAGGTAATAAAGAGCCAGTGCAGTTTATTGAGCAGAGAAGTGACATGCTCAGACCTTTGCTTTATTTGTTTATTTTTTCTACTTAATAGTATTTTATTTTTTCCAAGTAGATATAAAGATAGTTTTCAACATTCCCTTTTATAAGATTTTGAGTTCCAAGTTTTTTTCTCCCTCTCTCCCCTCCCTCCTCCCCAAGACAACAAGCAATCTCATCTCGGCTGTACATGTACAATCATGTTAAACATATTTCTACTTTACTCATGTTGTGAAAAAAGAATCAGAACAAAAGGGAAAAACTACAAGAAAGAAAAAACAAACAAAAAAAGTGAAAATTGTCTGCTTCAATCTGCACTCAGGTTCCGTAGCTCTGTCTCTGAATGTGGATAGTATTTTCCATCACGAGTCATTTGGAATTCAGACCTTTGCTTGCAGCTACATGGGTGATGGATTAGAGAGGAGAGAGAGGCCAGGAGACCAGTTAGGAAGTTACTGAGATATTTTTATGCATTTATATAGCTCTTACTATGTGCCAGGCACTGACCGTGCTAAGCACTTTACAAAATTATGATCCCATATATTCTCACAACGACCCTGCGAAGTAGGGGCTGTTATTATCCCCATTTTACAGAAGAAGAAACTGAGGCAAACAGAGGTGAAGTGATTTGCCCAGGATCATAGAACTAGTAAGTGTCTGAAGCAGGATTTGAACTCAGGTCTTCCTGACTCCAAGCCCAGAGCTCTATCCACTAAGCCATCTGATCGCCTAAGGCAAGCGGTAATGACTACTTGAACTAGGATGCTAGTCGTATGATGTCGGGAAGGTCTTGACGGTAGACTGCACAATACTCGGTAACTAATTGGCTATGTGGGCCGAGGGGGAGGGAGGAGAAGAGGATTCTGAGGCTGGAACCTGGGTGGCCCCAAATGGTGACTGATTGTTGGCTGTGATTTGGTAGCCAATGGAGAAGGAGAACAACTTAGAGATTTATTACGCACACACAGACACATCAGCAGTCAATAATTCCGTGTCCAGTTGATGTGCAGCAGAATCATCAGATTGTTCTCCTGAGATGTGTGCTGTTAGTCAAAGAGTAGACGGTATTCTTATTTCAATGAAATACGGAGATGTCTCCTCTTGAGCCTATAATCAAATCATTTACATTCTAGAGTCATTCTCATCTAATCCATTGTCATCCTTAAGTTCCAGATCCTTAAACCATATAATCCTTAATGCTGGAATTGAGATAATATTTATAAAGTGATTCATACAATGCCTGGAACACAGTAGGCACTTAATATATACTTCCCCCTTTTGTTTTGATTTTCTTTAAAAATAGTTTCTTTTTTAAAAAGTTAGATATAGGATATCCTTTTTATACTTTTCTTTTTGTCCCTGGTGCTTAGCACAGTGCCCAACACATAGTAGGTGCTTAATAAATGCATGTTTGCTGACTTTAATACTTTAAAAGGTGGCGGTGAGCCGCAATGTGTATTGACATAAACACTTATTCTTTTTTTTTTTTTTTATGCCAGTTACTGTTGAACTGACTTTATTTATGGAGGAAAAAAATGCAGCAACAATGACTCACAAGTTGAATCACAGAGAAACTTGAAATTTTTCTTTTAACTCATTCATCCTGAGGATGGCTGAGGCAACCTAAATTTCAAAAGACCCAGATTAAAATCTAAGAAGGTGTAAGTGTTGTAGTTACGATGTTGAAGGTTCTTGTAGGCAGAATTATCAAATGCCTCAGCACTTTCGGTCTTTTTGGTGGTTCTTGCATTTTAGACTTCTTTTGTTTTTCCTTTTCATTGCCTCTTGATTTTGTAGAGAGAAAAGCTGTTGAAGCAAATTCTGGAAGCCCCCATGCTTTTAGTTGTATGGTCTTCAGTACTGCCCTTCGGCCCAGTCCCAGGACAGAGGAAAAGGCCATGGCAGTAGAGTAGGGGGGACTCTAGGCAAGGTTAACCCATCCAGAGGACATCGGCTGGCCACCTCCAGAGCTATAACTCGAGCTCGCTTCCCTTTGCCTAGATGTGAGCATGACTGGCCAATCCCAACCAACACTTCTTATTCTTAATATCTTGATTCTAATATGACTCTGGTGGATCTATTTATACCTTTGATTTTTTTTTTTTACCATTGAGATAGATAAAAATGACGCATTCTTAGTTTCCCTGCCTGTTTGTTAGCCCACAGGATCCCAGTGACCCTATCTACACAGGCTTCTGCCTGCTCTTTCTAGCTCTACGTAACTAATATTCATAACTAGCATTACTCCCTATGTGTAACTAGTCTGGGCAGTTAGGTGGTGTAATGGATAGAGCACCACGCCTGAAGTCAGGACCACAGTCCAAAGCCAGCCTCAGATACATACTAGTTGTGTGACCCTGGGCAAATCACTTAACCCTGTTTGCCTCTGTTTCCTCATCAGTAAAATGAGCTGCAGAAGGAAATGGTGAATCACTCTAGAATCTTTGCCAAGAAAACCCCAGATGTGGTCACAGAGAGTCAGACGTGACTGAAATGGCTCAACAACAGCAAATGTAACTAGTCTAAAAAGAACCCACGTATCTGTGCTAGATAAAGTAAAAAATAAAAGTCCACCACTTTAATACATGAAATTCAGCATATGCTGATTCCAGGTTTCGCCCCATTTAAGAGGGCTTGATTCCTGCGGTACCAAAATGAAACTGTTACATGTGGTCTCCCCTATGGGATTCTAGGTCGCGCTTAAAGCAATGGAGCAGTAAGGGGCCTTAGGGGGTCATTTTACAAGTGAGACACTGAGAGACCCAAGTGTGAAAGAGGCTTGGACGAGGAAGTGGTTCTTGGTAGTGAGCCGCTGAGTTGCATTTGAACTTGGGACTCTTCACTCCAAATCTAAGGGATTTTGCAGTTGATCCTGTCCCACGGCCCACCATAGCACAGTGTAGTGGAAATAGCCTTGAACTTGGGCTTGGCAGAGACCCTGGTTCATTCAAGGCCTGCCTCGGACACTTGCTTGCTTTGGACTATGAGCGAGTCACAACCTCTCCAG